AAATACTCTTTTTCATAGACAGACAGACCCGATTATGCGAGGCCCCAAGGCCTTCGATATAAGCCAAAGGATGTCCTCGCTCTCAGAGAACCGCCTCCCACACCCACCCGTAAGCATCGGTTTCAATCTCAAAAGGATGGAGAAATCGTAAGGCCAACACCGAGCCGAGGATAGTGTTGTCTTAAGTGTCGAAAGGCGACTCATGAATGGAAGTCCATACAAAGAGGGCATCCTTTTGAGCAAATCCGCGGTGGCTTGGCAATGATCCCAAAATTACGGACGAACTTCCGATAATATCCGCCAATCCAAGGAATCCGCCACGGACGAAGTTGGTGGCGCCAACTCGGATGGCTCGAACCTTGGCCGGATCGGTGGACAACCCGGAGCTGCTGATCACATGGCCCAAGTAAGAGACTTGCCTTTGAGCAAACTTGCACTTGGAAAGCTTAATCTTCCAGTTCTCTCATGGCCACCATCAAAAACTAGAGCAACATGTCGTATATGGGCTTCATAGGAACGGTCGCAAAATATCATCAAAAAGACTATCACAAAGCGGGCGAAGCCCAGAGAGCCAATGTCACATTCATAGCACCTTGAAAGGTTCCTGGAGCTCCAGTTAAACCGAAGGCCATAACTCAGAATTCATACTGACCGAGATGGGTCTGAAATGCGGTCTTGTGCTCTTCACCCGGTTGAAGCAAAATCTGATGGAACCCCGCACGAAGATCTAGATTAGTGAACCAACTGGCATGAGCTAACTCATCCATCAACTCCTCGAACACTGGCACTGGAAACTTAGACTTCGCGGTGAGAGCATTGAGGTGCCGAAAGTCGACACAGAACCGGTACGAGCCATCCTTCTTCTTGACCAACAGCACGGGCGAAGAGAAGGAACTAGAGCTTGGCTGTATGATTCCTTGAGAAAGCATCTCATTGACCTGTCGCTCAATTTCATCTTTGAGGCTCAGTGGGTATCTGTACGGGCGGATGTACACAGGACTAGCACCGGGCAACAGCGGGATAGAGTGGTTACATGCTCGAGAAGGCGGCAACTCCACTGGTGGAGAGAACAAATCAGGAAAGGAATCAACCAGAGCTTGGATTTCCACCGCGCCTCGAGCAAAGCTCGGAAGATCAAAGACTAGAATCGGAACCGCACACACGGTGAAGAAGCAACTGACCGGGGCACTCCTCCTCATCCAGACCTTGCAACAGCACAGAAGCACCATGATAGGGAATAGAAAACCACTTCTGTTGCCAGTGAACATGCATTGGGCTGAAGGCAGCCAGCCAGTCCATACCCACAATAGCATCAAAGGTTGACAATGGAAGTGTTCTGAAATCAGAAATGAATGTGCATGTGTCCAGTGTCCACGGCACATTGCGGAGGATGCCGAGCTCAAAGAATGTGCCACCACCAAAGAACTTGCACTTGAGTGGATCTGCAGCACCGCGACGACAATTGGGCTGCCAAGGATTCACTAAGAAAAGATGATGAGCTACCAGAGTCAATCAATATTAAAGCTGGATGCCCCCACTGTCCCAGCAAACCGAATAGTACGGGCCGCAGAAGCACCAAGAGCAAAGAGCTTTGGAAATGGCCACAAACAACGCTTTCGGGTACCGGCTTCTCCGCACTTCGTAATAGTCCTTCGAGGAATCAAACGAGTCCCAAAGAGCTTCCACGGCAAGTAACACCTCAGGATGGCATGTATGGTCTTTACTCCACTTGGCACCACATTTGTAACAAAGACCCAAAGCCCTCCGATAAGCTTTGACGGCTCAAGCTTGGGATCGACATTGGAAGACCGCTGATCGCAGGAGCCGCCACCACCGTAGGGACCAAAGAGTGTGGGGCTGGTCCCTTATCAAAGACGGGGTGGCGGAGGAAGAGGCAATGGCGTCCGGGGAGAATGCTGGAATTTGGATGTCGTATACCAATCACCCGAACGAGGCTGTCTGGTCGGAGCTGGAACCCCTGCCTCCTCCCCGCAACAATGCCGTAACACAAGCAAAGATCGAGGTTTTATGATGCCGAACCAACACAACGGCTTTAATCTCGGAAACAACCCATCGATAAAGCGCATGGTGTAATAGACAGGATTTGTAGAATTGGAATAAGCAGACAGTTGATCCACGAGTTCAGTAAAACGTGTGACATAATCGAGATGAGGTAAGTTTCGCTTGATGGAAAACATTTCGGATCAACAAATTCATGTTGGTCACGATCGAAACGATCATGCAACAATTGATGAAGGTAGACCAAGTTGTTTGAACGGGTTGGGACTCGATGGATTGGAACCATCAGCAGGCCTTCTAGATAGTGTTCGCACACGCTAATCCACATAAACTCCTCCACACCATACATAGCGAAATACTTCTCACAAATGACGACGCCACAAGCGGGGATTGTCACCACAAACTTGGGGAAAGGAAGCTTAGGAAGGCGACCTAACACAGAGGATGGAGAATAAGTGTCGGCTGGCTTGTGGTGAGCGAAATTGGAAGGAATAGTATGATGTGGTGGAAAAACTGTGAAACTCAAGGAACAGTAAAAAAAATGGGAGGAGGCGGAAGTGGAGAAGTAATATTTGGGTGGTGTGGATGGAATTAGGCAAAATTGGGGGGAACCGGAAGGGGAGAAGAAAATTGAGGGTGAATGGAATTGGTGGGATGAGAACTCAGCGAATTGGAACACGGCGGATGAAAGCTAGGTGGATTTGGCGGAGGTGGGGGAAAAATGACTGGCGGCGGAAAAGGAGGGTGAAAAGTGGGCTGAACCGGCCAAATTGGGGGCGAGGTGGTACGATAACGGGAGGAGGACGATCCAAGGTGACAACAGCATTTAAGAAGGCGGAGGAGAAGGAAGAGGAGTGGACGTCAGATTGTTGGTCGGGATATGGCTCAGTGTCGTGACGACCCCGGATCCAGATCCGGAAACGATGGAGAGCTGAGCCCGCTGTTCCCTCGGTGGGCGAAGCCGAACCGGCATTGGTGCCGCGACGACGGGACGGAAGGGGCCGAGCGGGAGAGTGGACGAGGCACCTGCGTGTGGTCCCAAAGTGGTCGGAGATGCGCTTCACCTCGAGGCGAGATCGTCCCACGAAGCGCTTCGACCATGGCCGCCAAGTCCCGAGGTCCGAAGCCGCCACCTCCAGCTTGCTCGAAGTCCAAGTCAACAGGCCTCCGTGGTGGCGAGGCGGCCGTCGACCGCCGAAGTCAACAACAACGTCGCGATCCAGATCGGAAGCGCCGCCCCACTTCGCATCTTGTTCGTCGAACCGGCGATTGAGCTCGCCGAGGGCCATTTTCAGGTTGGGATCCATGGCACTGAGTCCGGGTGAAGTGGTCGTGCGATCTATGGTGGCGTGGAATCCAGATTGGCCTAGTCTGATACCAATTGTGAGACTAAACTACGAATTGTATGCTTGATGAAGAAGAAGAACAAGTAATGTATGCTAAGTGCTTCTATTACGGAAAACTATTCAGCTTTGCTATCCTCTCCTATCCGAAGGCTCATATACACGCTTAAGCTTGCCACATGGGCCCGAGCACCCTAGAGTTGGGCTTCATCTTGGGCCTTGGCACCAAGTCCCGGTCCATCAGCGGCATCACCGGCAGTGGCATCAGGTGTGCTGCTGACACATGACTTCACACACCATCCTGGCTGTTGTTCCCTGGACGACGGCATATGCACCGTAGTAGTGGTAGCAGCTGAAGCGAAGCACCTTGTAGTCCCCTGTGGAGGGGACGTGCCCGAGTTCGGGGACGTGGTGCCTGAGTACAAATGCTGTGGAGGCAGGAACAGCCATGTCGCCATCGGGCAAGACGATGTCGTCGTGGACTGCACCGGTGGTCGGGTTGATTACAAGGACATGGTCGTCTCGTCTGCTCGCCCTTGTCGTTGGCGAGACGACGGCGCAGATCAGACCAGCCTGCGTGTTCAGACTCCAGCAGAAGTAGTCCCCGAGGTGGATCCGCTTGACGACGTCGCACGAGTGCAGGTCGACGATGTGGATCGCGTCATGTCGACGATGGTCGAGGCCGACGAGCAGCGGGTGGCGGGACGAGTGTGCCCTGGCGAAGCCCGGGTCTGAGGTGAGGGAGCGCCACGATCAGCAGACGAGGCGGAGGCGGCACAGCACCTTGGCCGGGAGGCGGAGAAGCACCTCGTACAGCACGTCCGTCGGCAGCACGCCGCCGTTGGGAAAGGGCTTTTTGGCGTCCCGTACGAGCGCCGACGCCATCACCGGTCGTTCTCGCCGTCACGGTATGTAGATAAAACCTGGCGCATCCAGCCGTGCAGGCCCGATCTGCGGTGCATGCGTCGCGTCGCGTCGCGTCAGAGGGGGTCGTCATATAAAGGCGGTCATGGTGTGTAATCTTGGCAACAGATTTGCCGGTGGGGCTCGATGGAGTTCAACTGCTCGTGCTTGGCTACAAATTTAGGATTGATACGACATGGTTTTTTTCTCTGATGAATCTCCTCGATTTTCAGCTCCATCTCCATGGCCCATGGGTTCCCCATCTTTTGGGCCATTTCATGGGTTTCCGATCTGACAAATATATGGTTTTATTATAAGTTTACATTATATTAGCATATACGAAGCCAACACAGGATGCAAGTTTTTGCAACTTTCAGATTGATTTGGTTGATACACGGTACATCTATGTTTCCATGTTATCACAGATCAACTAAGGGTATGTTTGGTGTCAAGGGCTAATTGTTAGCGATAAGTTCACCAAAATTAATTCTAGTCCATCCAAATTCATCACCTATTTGTCAGAAGTCCAGAAGTTTCAGACATCTGGTTCTACGTTTTCCATGTGATCGACATTTATCTGCGCAACTAATTTGCAACAATATTATTATTCAAGTATCAAACTATCAAACTTCAACACCAAAGCATTCGACAGACCATATGCTGCACAATAACCTCCTACGTATTTAGCTATTTGCTCTTTTTTATGTGTCTGACTACAGGCCTACAGCCTACAGCCTACAGTTCTTTCTCTTCATCGGTTACACTGTTGATACCCTCGAGTGCCATAGCAGCATACTGCACATGTCTGAGGAGTGCCCCATATATCTTCCTCCGTACTCTCTCGCACGCGTCACTCTCTTCTTCCTCGGACAACACACTATCCTTGCTGCTTCTATCAATGGAAAACATCCTCTCATTATGCCGCACGACACGGTTGAGCCAGGCATCCACCTTCTTCAGCTGCTGCAGAAAGCCTGCGACCTGGGAATCAGACGTCGCGTAGTCGCTCTCGATGTCATCCAGGAACTTGTCAATGTACTTGAGGAACCATCGGTTGCCATCAGAGCGCATCGCGACAGCCAGGTCCATTGCTGCATTTAGGCTGCCGCCTTCAGTGGAAGCATCAGCGGTTTTCTTTGAGAGCCTGCTGTTGCAGTTGCACTTCGGTTTGGAACAGAACAGTGGGCTCACAGGTTTCAGTTGAGCCACTGATGACGCCCTCGCAGATTCAGATGTGGCTCTCGTGTGGCTGGAGAAGGGTGACAGGTCTGCTTCGATGGCCGCTCTGACCCATGAGATGGCAGATTGCTTCCTGTCCAATGCTGCCTTCGTAGCGGCTCTTGGCGAAGCCGAGGATGTTGAATTGGAACAGCATGCTTTTGGGTGCCTGAGTCTGGCCTGTGACTGAGCTACGAAGATAGCATGATCCAGTTCTTGAGAGAATTTCAAGAACCTGCCTATGAGCTCCTTTGGGTCGTCGTCCTTGTCAGAATGTAGTTCAGAGTATTTGCTGAAAAGAGAGAGGAATGAATATTGAGCTGCTGCTTCTTACACCATAAGCACTTTCTGAAGATTTAGAAAGTTGATTCTACTGTTACTTGTTCTTTTTTTCAGATGAACCCGATATCAGTTTTCTCATAGTACTTTAACGTAAACACATCATATTAACACATTCTTTCAGCGTTACTCACCTCAGGCATTTTATCAACTTCTCAGTGGCAGATGCTTCTAGCAGTCCATCAAGCACAGCTTGCAGCGCCATGTCTCTCTGCTTCATCGCTTCCTGTCACGGGAAATCAGCAGAATTAGCTTCTTGGGGGTAACAAAAGAGAAGAACAGCATGCCGTGTAAAATCTGCTAACTAGTAGAAACTTTGACGGCAAAAATTCAAGGAGTCAAAGATTAAAAAAAATCTGTCTATACAACAATTGAGTAGAATAAAGACGATCATGACTTAATTTTTAGACTACTATATCTAAAATAAAATAGAGGGTCCAAATCAAATTATCTTTCTCCACCTTATCTTCTTTTCTTCTTCATCATCCGCCCATGCCTGTACCCAACCCCGACACTGACCTTGACGCACTGCTGGCCCCTGCTGCCTACATCGGATCCACTGCCAAACACCACGACCCGACTCTAAATCCATCGGATGTGCTTCCTCCCTGCCATCTTCTTCGTCTCTAACTGAGCTCCCCCACCGTCACCGCCTCCTGCTCAGCTCCGGCAGCGCCCGACCGTGCCTCTGACCGCCACCATGCTAACCCGGTGGAGGTCACCAGAATATCTCTGTCGCGTCCCTGCCCTTGCCCCGCCCAACTATCGCCTCGCCCCACGCTACCCTGTGCCTGCCACCATTGTCGGGCCGGCCTTCTCCCCTACAATCCTTCTAAGGACACCGGATTCAGGTAAGGCCTCGAACCCTAAACATTGACTCTTGGATGTCTATACAGAACTCGCGTGTTTTAGGTTCTTCAACACCTGATTTTTTTCTCTCCATACCTTCTTCCTCCTCCCAACACGCCGCCATTGCCCACCGCCCACCGTCCCGCCGCGGCGTGCCATGGAGCTCTGGCGAGACCCTACCGCCTGCGGAGAAGAAGAGAAGGAGAGGAAGAGAAGAGAAAGGAAAAATCGAGTGTTGGCTCTAAAACATTCGAGTGTTTGGATAGCATTTCTCTAAGTCTTACCTTGTCAGAGTCGGGGAAGAAGACTACATAATATTTGCCATAATAATTTGGATTGGGTAGGAAAATTTGAGAGAAGTCTTAAATCACTCTAGTGATGTTTGAGAGAAAGCCTTAAATCACTCTAGTGATGTTTAGCTTTATATCTGCGAATGGTGGGAGCAGTGGAATGGGCCCTGTAGACATGGCGCGGACTCAATCTTTGCAATAGTCGCCTGGGAACTGTGGAAGGAAAGGAATACGAGATGCTTCCCAGGCACCGCATCCCAGCTGTCAGCGCTGCTAGCAATCATCAAGCATGAAGGGGAGCAATGGGTCGAGGCAGGCACGAAGAACCTTGGATGCTTGGGTTCAGGGAGGGTCAGGGCTTATTGCATACTCTGGCGACCCTCGCCTAAGATGCCTTCAAGGTGTTTGTATTTAACATTTTCTACCTTAATATAAAGGCACGTACGTGTCTGAGAAAAAAAATGTTTAGCTTTATAAAAAATGGAACGGATGAAGTTGCATACCTTTCCATGTCGCACCAAGCTCGAGGAGAGTGAGCTCCATATCACATTGTTCTCGCACCACTTGATGCCACTGGATGAAGTACTCTGCGAGATCGGTGTGGCGGCACAGGAGCTGTCTCTGGGCGCCTTGATAGACGCGTGGCTGTTCCTCTTGGAGAGCACCTTGAACGCCTTCTCTGCCTTTCTCCTCACGGACTCCAGTGGATCATTCACCACGTCGTTCTGGTGTGCAATGGTTTTTGAGCCGGATTTACCTGGAGAAACCTGCACGATACAGCAAATTTCACTGGATTAGCTTGATTTCTAATCACTTTGGTGAAGTGAACTTTCTGTATATGGGCTGCAAGAAATGGCTTTACACTGTTGCTACGTCTCCGGGGAGCGACGGGTCTCACGTCCTTGATGCTCCCGCTGAAATCCCAGTTTCTCCTTGCCGTGGACATGGACGAGTACGACGACGACACGTCCGACGTGTCCTCGTCGTCGCTGCTGTTGCCTTCTACGGACGGGACACTGATCTTCCTCAGGTTCTTCGGCGAGTCCAAGCTCTTCATCATGCTCTCCCTCCTCCTCGCCGTCGACGCCGCCGGCGACACCGCCTCGGACAGATTCGTTATCGACCGCGACCTGTGGCAGTGGCCGATGGGGGCAGGGGAGCTCGCCTGTCGCGCCCTCCTCTCCGGAAGCGGAGGCGTCGGCGACGGCCGGCGCGGGCGCTCGGAGACGACCTCCTTGACGACGTCGTCATCGCCGGAGTCCTGCTGGACGCAGGGGTACCGCCCTGGGAGGACGCGGAAGCCGCGGAGCACGGGCGCTGGGACGGACGGCACGAGGTGGTCGACCTCGATGATCTGGCCGATGTGGAGGCCGTTGGCGAGGATGAGGTCGTCGTGGTCGGCGTGGAGGGACACGTAGCAGGAGCGGGCCGAGTCGGAGAGGCGGAGGTAGAAGCCGTGGTGGCCTGAGAAGGGGTCGGCGCCGGAGAGCGCCGGCGTGATGTTGGTGACCTGGAGCAGGGCGCGCTCACGGGCGCGGGAGCGCGACCGCGACCGCGGCGTCGGGGCGGAGTCGCCGTCGTCGTCGGACGGGTCCGGCGGGCGGAGCAGCCGCTGCAGGCTGCCCGGCCGGAGCGCGGGCCTGTGCGGCGACGAGGGCAGCGAAGGAGACGACCAAGACGACGTCAGCGTGGGCGGCGGCGCCATTCGCGGAGAAGGGTGGGTGAGGAGAGAGAAAGCTGGTGCGAAATGTGCGATGCTGAGAGGAAGGAGGGAGGAGGATGGATGGGAGGGGGAGGGGGAGGCGGAGGCGGAGCTGGATTTGTGGCGGGTGACGCGGGGCGGATTTGAACGCCGGCGCACGGGAGAATGGTGAATTGGTGATCCCACAAGGAAATCGCAACTGCTCGGGTGGGACCTTGGCAAGGAATGTAGGCAGCTTTTGTTACTTCTCTTCGGCCTTTTGCGAGACAAAGCCCATTGTGTGAGGCCGTTCATAGATGGACTGTTGAACGGATCCGGCCAAGCATTACAGCCCATATATAGATATAATAATCCTTGCAGATATCATAATATCTTCTTTTCATAGGCAGATATCATTAATTTTTTTTGCAGGTATCCAGAGATCAGAACCATTTTAAGTTGAAACGCTAGCCCTTTTATGTCTTTTATTCAAAAACCTCCTTTTATGCTTGATTAAAAGGAGATTCTAGCTCATAGGCTGCACTCTTACTACCCCGCTAGCATATCAATCGCTTCATGCAAGTTATCTAGGTTAGAGAGCCACACCAACCACTAGTATGCATTTAGTTTTCCATATCATCCACTAGCATCTATGCAAATGCTTATACTAATGAGTTACGTAAGCCAATAATTTTAGGCTGGCCGATTTTCATTCCAAACCATAGTGATCCTCATAGCAACACACATGTGACATCTTTCTAGATTTTATTATCAAAATAAAGTGCTTACAATCAAACTATCCATGTAAAATGACAACTTATATAATTTATTCTGATGGGGGCATTATTAAGGAAACATTTTTCGTAATTGCTAAGCTAAATAAATATATATTTATAACTTACGCATGTATATTTGGTCTCCATGGTGGCGCATATCTTGTATGCTTATATTTAAGCTAGTTTGTTTATAAATTAGTAGTGGTATAGAAGTGGGTACTTTGAATGCATACTTTATGGTTATTTACTATTTTACAGTAGTATGAAAGTGCAATCAAACCCTAATTATGGGTTTTGATGATAATGATCACACAAGGACTAATGAGATTTATCGAGATGACAAGCAGGAAATATATAATCGAGGATGCTATACGAAACGGAGGTGCCCCCAATTATAAATATCGATGGCTTCAAACTTAAAGGAGGTTTAAATTCTTTTATATTATGAAATTGAGTATAGGAAAAACCGTATTATAAAGGGGGACACAATGCTTGAGCTAACATGTGCTACCAAGTGCTCTATCTTACACCTACATCCTCAGTTACTCAGCCAAGACAGCCAGCACTTCACTCTTACCCTTACTGTCTTGCCTTGTGCGGTAGTGCCGCACCTAGACAGAGGCACTACCGCGACTTAAGTGATCGTTGAGGGCTGGGTGTATTTATACCTTTTTCCTTCCTCTCTAGTGTCTCTCTTCTCTCTCTAAACCGTTCAGTTCGTCCAAGAACAGAAAAGTGCTCATCTCTCTCTCCTCCATTGGTGACATTGAGCTCTTAAGCTTCTTCATTAATTTTCCTATCAATCCTTGAGAGAAAAAGGTGTCAAACTCGATTAAAGAGCAGATCCATTGATTCCCAAAGCCTAAAGAGCACTTGGTTCACGCTTTGGCCGACGGTTGTGTTTGTTACTCTTAGAGCTTGTCTCCTAGCCGGCAAGAGCATCGTCCGTGGAGCTTGCCAACTTATGTGGCAGCCCTGGGAGATTTGTACCAATCTCTTGCAGCTAGTAAACTCACCCCTCATCTCAAGAGGTAAATCTCTTAACTTGAGAACGAGGAAGGGTTGCAAAGCCCTAGCCTTAGTGGCAACCTCAACAACATGGACTTAGATAAGCCTTGGTGGCGAGCTGAACCACGGGATAAATCATTGAGTCACCTTGTGCTTGATTTACTTCACTTGCATTTCACATTGTTGTTGAGGTAGATTTTAGTGTTTGTGACCATTCAACTTGTGTGTGGAGTTCCTACCACTTCTAGCTCTCGATCTGTGAACCTCGTACCTGTAGGAAGCTAAGGAATTTCTCTGATCTAAGTTTTGATTCTCTGATTTTGAACTATGACTCGAAGTTGTCTGTAGGTGCGGTAGTGCCGCTGTTATAGTCCGGCAGTGTCGCGAGGTCAGAGCGGCAGTGCTACGGGTGAAATTTGATATCTGCTTGAGTTTTGTTTTAATAGGCCTATTCACCCTCCCTCTAGGCTAACCAGATATCATACAAGTGGTATCAGAGCATGTTACCTCGTGTGTGTTTCACTGCGTGAGGTATGGAGCCCGGAGGAGGTACTAGTGGCATGAAGCTGGTGGACGTTGACCCAGAGGATGTGGAGCTGCATGACACCGACATCAGTGAGCTAAGTGCTTCTACAACAAGCAATACCATACTCCCGCAACTTGAGGCTACCGATGCTGAGAAAGCTCAAAATGATGAAGAAAGAAGAAAAAGAAAGGAAGCTAGAAAAGCAAAAAGAGAAACAAGAGAAAAGAAGAAGAAGAAGCAAAGGATTGAAGATAAGAAGCAAAGAAAAGAAGAAAGAAAGCTCATGAGAGAAGCAAGAAGAAAAAGAAGAGAAGTTAGGAAGAAGGAAGAAGAAGAGAAGGCAACCAATGCATCATCAAGTGACATCTCAACTAATTTCGAAGATGGAGATGATGATGAGTCCTACCAAGTGTCAAAGGGAGGCAAGAAGAAAAGAAAAGGAAAGGGCAAAGTCGACTCCAACAATAAATATGCCATCGTATCCTTTAACTATTCCTCTATGCCTATGACTAACCTTGATCGAAAGTCTTTCATCAATGTGCCCACGAGCAAGTTATCTCATTTTGATGGGACTAACTTTGTCAAGTGAAGGCACTTGATGAGAGCCTATCTTATAGGTCTTCACCCCGGCATTTGGGAGGTTGTTTGCAATGGATTTGAGCCACCGGTTGATCCCAAGAATCCAACAATTGATGAAATGAGAATTATTCATCTCAATGGTCAAGCCACAAGTGTGTTACTTAATGCTTTGGACGGTGATGAGTACAATAGAGTCATTGGTGTTGATATTGCCAAGCAAATATATGCCACTTTGCACCTTGCACATGAAGGGGTTGACAAAGTGAGGAAGGCAAGAATTGATTTGTTGATGGCAAAATTCAACCGGTTCATAATCATGGATGAAGAAGGACCACAAGAGATGTTTGATAGATTGATGACTATGATGGACAAGATTAGAGGCTATGGTTGTGATGAGCTTACTCACCTAGAAATGAGACTGTAGTGACTCTAATTAGAGACAAGAAGTTTGAGTACTTCACACCAAATGATGTACTTGGGAGGATCTTGACATTTGACATGCAAAGAGAAGAAGCAAATGAGAGGAAGAGGCTTGGTGAATTATAAGCAAAGCTAGATGGCATAAAGATCAATGATGTAGCTCTCAAAGCCAACAAATCAAGTAAGCATGGCTCTACAAGCAAGTCCAAGATCAACAAGCAAGCCTAAAGCAAGCAAGCAAGTCCAAGAGCAAGTAGAGACTACATCATCCTCAAGTGATAGTGAAAATAATGATGATCAATATGAGAAGGTGGATGATGTTGCTCTCTTTATGAAGAGATTTCAAAATGGGCTAAAGAAGCAAGGCTACAAAGTAGTGAAAAGAAAGTTTCCAAACAAGAAGAAGAGGACATGGTAAAATTGTGGTAGTACTAATCACTTCATTGCCAATTGTCTATATGAGATCAAATATAACAAGTACAAGAAGGACAAGAAAAAGGATAAGGCCGATCATAGAAAAGAGTAAGAAGTATATGGGAGAGGCTCACATTGGGCATGAATAGGATTCAACTAGAGAGAGCACAAGTGAAGAGGATGAGAAGGTTGCAACCGTTGCTATTCACAAGTCATCCCCTACACCAAGGCTCTTCAACAACATGTCCAATGATGACTACTACTCCCCTCACATTTGTCTCATAGCAAAGGGTGAGAAGGTAAAACCAAAATCTAAGTCTCCACCTCCACCTCCTAGTGATATCTCTAGTAGTGATATTAGTGATAGTTCTAGTGATGATGAATCTAGTGATAAAGAAATAAATATGATAACTAAAAATTTGGATAGAAAGATCAAATTGTTTATCACTAAACTAATGGAGGAGTTAGAGAGTGTCCAAGCCAAGCTAGAATCTAGAGAGAAAATTCTTATCCAACAAGAGGATCTCTACATTGCTAGCAAGAAAGCTCTTGCATTAGAGAGAAGTGAGGTGGAAACCTTACGCAAGGCTTTGGCCAAAGAGCAAGAGGACAATGCTATCACAAAGAAAGCAAATAATACACTTAAGAAAAAGCATTATGACCTAGATGAAAAGTATAAGGAACTTGAGCTGCAATATGGCATTCTTTGAGAAAGCAACTCACATCCCTCTAAGGCAAAGGAAGCCTCAACTCTCTCCACTAGTCAAGGTTGTGGAAAATGTTATCATCTTGATTTGAATGTCTATTTCACTAACCTTACAAACATGGAGACTATAAAAAAGAAGATTGCTAGGCTTAATAAAATCATTGAAAAATGGTGCATGGGTAAGGCCCAATCCAATGACAAGAAAAAGGATGAATCAAAAGGGCCACAATTCAAGCAAGGAAGGCATCCCTCAATCAAGCATGGGCTTGGCCACACAAAAGGAGCCAAGACAAATAGAAGAAGGATAGTAAACGACTATGTGTGTGTACAGTTTGAGAGGAAGGATAGAATTGGTGTAGAGCAGCCCGCATAGACCGCGGCAGTGCAGCATCCTCGAGTGGCAGTGCCACGATGAAGGGTGGCAGTGCCGCGCCCCGTAAAAATGGAAAGGCTACCAATTATGTTCCTGATCAGACTAAGCCTAAGAAAAGGTGTTCTAGCAGAAACAGATTTAGCAGAAGCCAAAGAAATCAGTGTGGGGCACTATGAACAAATATGCTTATCAACCAAGGCCCTTGCACCTCAACAAAGCTTG